TGTAAATTTTGGCGAAGTTAGATATCAGGCAGTTTTGCCATTTTCATTTTATTTTCTTTAAACTTCATAATCTCATATTTAATGAGCGTGCTATTATGTCGACAAGGTATGTTGTTATGAGATACTGTTTTTACCATATAAAATTAATGTCTTTGCTTCGCTCCACTTGCTTATAGCAATCGGCAAGCTTACTTCAGGTTACGAAACGAATTGTAGCTGTAATTCTGTTCTACTTTCTCTGTTGGACGCCTCAATGGACACTGAATATTATGTCGCAGTTTAACCTCATTCATGTTAGCCACCTTTAATTACACTTTCAACCATTGGCTTGGCAATGGATGTCCTTTAAATGTCTATCCACTTTTTAGGTTTCATGGATGACGCCAGCGCTTTCTGCTATGTTCTTTGTCGCTCACTTGTTGGTAGGTCGCCTACAATTTTTTTAATGCTCTTTGACTGTCTCAGGCTGTTGGGTAGTTATGGTTTCAAACGAAATTCCTACTTTATTTGCAGGAGAACGTTTTTCATCTGAGAAACAAAAAAAATTATGGCATTTAATTAGATTTTGTCATACGCACAGATGTTCAATGTAGAAGACGGAAATCACTTAAAAGCCCATTTAGTGTACATTTTGTGCCAAGTGACGTTTATAACTTCTAAACGTTCTTAAATCATTGTAATTTATTTAGATTTAAGCATAACTTATCGTATCGCAGATAGGTTTTTGCAACATCTTAGGTTAATTTTGTATAGAAACGGTTAAATTCAGAATCTCGCAGAGCTATAGAAGATTTACAATCTTTATTTCACCTTAATTTAGGTGTGCTTCAACTCAGCTGCTAATCCTGTGTTGTATGCATTGATCAACCGGGAGCTTCGACAACAGCACGTCATGGCAATGGCACGGAAGCGGCAATCATTCACTCATGCCACTCACGGAGCTCTAGAGTTCGTCGCTCGTCACACCCACAAGTCTGCACCTGGTCATCCCATAATCATAACAAAGTATAACATCAGACAACAAAACGTAATCAAAGGCCGCACGACTGCGTCATTTCGACTTGCGTCTAGCTGCTCAATTAAACATTAACTTTTGCATATAGAAACGGGTGAACGCAAAAGCAGATATTTCATGAAAAAGTACTGATGTGAAGGAGCAAGTTAGTAGCGAACGCTAGAATCTCTAAAGTAGGCATATTCAAGGAAGTACAATTTACAGAAAGTGTTTAAAATGTAAGCCCATGCTCATATCTAAATTTTGCCAGAGTTCGTGAGCAGTAAATGGCGGACGAATTTTGGTCTGGTAGTGTCTAAGTGTGAGAGTCCCATTC